CTCTCTCTCATTAACTCTTTTCATCCAGAAGTATGTCTCTTTGTAAGCCTTAGGAGTGTTTACTTACGGCAAACACATTCTTGCGTTGTCACATAGCACTGAATGTTGCCTCCTCAACTGCCGTTGTCATTTTAGGTCAGTCTGAGCAAACATCCTTCTGCATCACATGCATGTGAATTCCTCATTTTCGCCGTACTTATTCATATTCTCACCGTTCCTTCAAAGCCGTACAGTGAATTACCAAAGAACACCCACCCTTTATTTATTCCCCTTCTTCCCCCATTTCTGGATTAGGTAGACAGCAATTCGTTATGAAGCTGTGTGGAGAATGTCAAAGGTCAAGCAAATGATCGTGGCCACTCCCTTTATCCCCCTACACATCAAGTCTCCATATATGCTCTCAGTTGTGTTTCATTATAACTTGGCATGGCAAATGGCCCTGGGTAACAATACTAACATTATAGTCCCGGGGATAGGTATGTTTGAATTACAGTGAATAAGGAACTTTTGCAAAAAAACTTTCCTGTCCCAACATGCAAATTAAGTTTGGTGGTGTGAGATAAACAAGAACATGACTTCCTTCCGGCTTACAAATTACGCCTTATGCCTTCCCAAGGTAAAGTTTTCTACACGCTCGAGTTGTAAAGAGTTGAATTAAGTAGACAGACATGAATCATGATTTATTGGCCTTTAACAAGTTAATGGTTCTGCCTTCTGTCCACCACGTACACATGGAAAGTCTGGAGATGAAGTAATGCGTGCTTTAAAAGAGTGTGAATGGTGATGGATCATTTGGAGTAACCAATGGCAGGTTTGTCCGCTCAAGGGTGGAATATGAAAGGCATTTCTCACCATAGGTCAGTCATTTTTTTCTACAACGCAAGTGAAATAGGTAAGAGAAAAAAGTTTTATATCACAGTATGAAATACCCGTTTGTTTAGCAGTATCCACGAGTTTCTCGTCCTTGTTGAAGTGCATAAACAAACCTTATCATTGCACAAGTTAAACTTTATTGGAAGCGAGTGGTGAGCTAGTCCTGAATTTTCTCATTTCTACCGCCCTCCTCTCTCCTAAAATGAGCATTCGGAGGTGCAATTTGCCGCACTGACTGATGGACAACCTAGTGGACAAGAAGTTCCCACCAAATGAAGCCGGTTTAAGTTCATAAAGCAGACAACCTCGAATAACACCCATGAGGCGTTTAACCGAAATTTCATGCTATGAGGGTGTAACGTAGCAAATAAAAAGTAGAGATCAAAATAGGGAGCATCGCACCAGCAGACTGCCATATCAAATCTATGCCACGTAATACGCATATTTAAAAGGTTGTAGGCACTTCACCAACCCTCACAAGTTGTACTAAATCATTGTGGGGAGTTATTCCCGCTTTCGCACTAGTTTTTCTCTATCATTCAGTGCATAAGAGTACAAACCATGATAGCGAATATTTGGATGATCCATTTGCCAACTTTATATGGGATGACAAATAAAGGCAAAAGAATGTGTCATGAGGGGAGTTTATTACTGCATATTTATGGTATTTTACTTGTTCTTGACCTTAAGGTGATTAGTAGCCCACTTAAAGCCTACCTGCATGTGTTATTTACCGATCAGGCGAATGGGACAATAGTATGGTGCTCTGGGATGGTAGGAAATTTGATATGAGTAGTAAACGTCCAAAATATCGGGAGCGAAACTGTTTCTGGAAGAAGATGTAGGAATGATAAGCAAGGGTTTATGGCTAATTTGTCGTATTATACACACCTAGCCTGCAACTACTTCGTTAGTGGAGATGACAGGTGACAGCTTGTGGTGTTGCACGAAGGTTTAAGACCCGAAGTTGCTGATACTCGTTCTATTGGAAGATTTAGATATTTACAGCTATACAGTAAGGCGCTGGCTCAAATGGTGCAAACGTTTCAGGGGCGACCGTACGCCTGCATGTCGGTGACGATCTCATTGCGTTAAATTCTCTGACCAAATAGAGGAAGGAACGTCCTAGCCTTGACGCTTGGGATTAAGCAAGAGACGAACTGTTGGTTTGCAAGAAAAGTGAACAAAAAGCCATCATTTGTGTAAGTTCCCAAGTTCCAGAATTTAGTGCACGCTGAGTCCCAAGACAGGTGGACTGACTGTCCTGCGTGTCTGTTTAAGCTGTATCGCCAGATCTTTCAATACTTATGCTAAGTGTACAACTGGAGTAAAAGATCAGGTAGAAAAAATAAATACTACATCCCCTCTTGAAAGCTATTCTTCTATTTTATGCAGCGAAACGTTGTTGCCCAACGCTCTCGACTATTTGAAAGCTTTCACATTATCTCATCCAGTCAATCATTTCGTAAATCAACATGCTTTAATGAAATGATAAGATCTTATGTATTTTTAAAAATGTCAACGAAGCGTTGGATAATCAAACAGACATTTCATACCCGTCTAACAGTAGTACCAAGTCTTGAATATCAACGAGGAGAATTCCATATTTGTTCTCCTGCAATAAACCACATCTGTAATTATGGAATGCAACCTTAAGCTCAAAACAGCCTTCAAAAGGTGCATTTACGATTGGTTTATGAAAATCATGAGATTTGATTCTCAAAACATAATTACTGAAGTCCAGGGGTGATGGTGGTTAAGGTGTAACATTTATTTTAATTTCAATGTCAGAGGATAAATAAATAAACTAACTTGCCAACGCTGTGTCATGGAAACTGGCAACATTCTTTAAGGTTGTGGTAGTCATCACCTCACGACCTCTGTCGCTTGGATGCAAGGACACACTCCGGTACGTAGACTTGTCATGCGGAGAGGACAGCACCAAACCACACAGTTCTGACAAAGTTGTGACATTCTAGTCTGTGAATGATTCAAGCACTGCTGCAGGGCTAAACTGGTAGTCATGTTCTAGCCACGACTCACTCAGAGATTAGTCGCCCATGCCCCTGGATTAATAATTCTTTCACCGGCGACGCCATTTTGGCGGTGTGCAGTCCGTATAAGCTTCGAATAGACGTCTTAGTCGGCAGCCAGTGACTTCTCCCTTCTGGTAGAGCATTTCAAGATAAAACAACTACCCTATTCCTGCTAGTACAAACCATCTACTACAATATTAGGAAATGTTTGATCTAAATTTGCCAGCTGACTAGGGCAGACACAGTGATCTGCAAACTTTTCAGCTTAGTTTTTCTAAGTGGTAATTGCCCCCACCACTAGAAGAAATATTTGTGGCACAAATTTATGCATGTGTCCAACTTTGCGTTCCAAATCTATTTATTCAAGGGGATTTCCCGTTTCTGGATAGTCTCACACAAGTTTGTCATACTCCAGTGTGAATGCGCTACTTCCCCATTTCGGCGATATTATACCCGTAGATTTAGCTGTTTTCAATTTTGTTAGCTGTGTTCCGTCAACTGGAGTTTCTGCATCAGCGATTTTATTACTATATGCACTTGAATCGTCGTACCCGCTTCAAAATCAGAAATTGAAACAATTTGACCTATGATTCCTCCACCCTTTTCTTCCTTCATTGCGTTTTGTACTCTTAGTCTCCACATGCACAACCCTAGTTTGTGTTCTTCGGATCTAATCTAAGGAAAAGCTTAACTGATTTTACTAGTATTTCTTCGTTATTTTCTTTAGGACTCATCATGATCGACAAAGAAGAATGAAGGGTCCAAACAAAAATATTTTTCTCCGAGCCTCGCATTTATTTACCGAAGGTCGTTCTTAATTTTCGTGATTATGGAGTTTCCAGGCCGGCCATACCCATCGTCAACGCATTCGACAAAGTAGAAATTTGTACTAAGGCCATATTGTTTGCCTCGGTTAGCAGTTTCCCTAGGCATATTTGAGGCGTCCGGCAAGAGGAAGCGAACATATCACCTTATGAGCCAAAAACATTGAATGCAAGTTTTGTAAAATTTCATCCTGCAGATTGACCTTGCTATCCTTTCTTCCTATCACTTAGTTAGACAGGGCAAACAATGGGTAAGCGTACTTTTAGCAAGAGATTTCATAAAAGCGGTACTAAACAGAGTGGCAGCAAGAGGATGTTAATGTATGGAGGCTGGTACTTTTTCCTGAGCCAGTCCAGACACCACCAAATAAGATTGCAGGCGATTACTAATGTATGCATGCATTAGAGTGCTTTGAAACGAAACTTACAAAAGTATTCTGTCGGAGGAGACAATAAGATAATGGGAAACCTGGCCACTAGGCGATGAGACATTTGAATAACTTAAGCATTTCAGAAACAGAATCCCAAAGGGGTATCAGTTACGATGTATGTAGTGCCTGTCCTCAGCGTCTGTACCATACCTATGAACATTTAGGCAACGGAGGATCCAATCCTGGAGGCCTAAATCGCAACTTCATCCCAGTAGTGAGAGTTTGCAATTTCGAGAAATTAGCTGACGCTGGGTACTAGGGCAGGCGGACTGGCTGTTTCAGAATGATTAATTAACATTAATAAGTCTTTTTGTGTAGAAGCTTCCAGTCTTTTCGATTAACAACAGCAGAAGCTAGCAAATGCAGCAGAGGATTATGCAAAAGTACTTTCTTTTCCTCTCTAAGCCTAATAGACTGTTTGATTTGAATCATCGGTCCTAAATCACCATCCATGTGTGGTGGTACTTCTGATTGCGGGCTCTCATCCTTAAAAATGCGTCAGTGGGCTAAATGAGAAGTCATGCTGATGTCAACACAGTGGTCAGTGGAAGAGAACACCGAATAAAACAATGCATTCTAACTAAACGCAAAGGAAGGCAAGCTTAATAAGATGCCCTATTCGTACGTTTGGGATGGATGAACTGGGAAGCTAGCAGCACAGGTGAGATGGGTATGATGCATTAGGCGAGCACCTTTCTACGGCACAATGCAAAATCAGTTTGAGTATCTACCCTCCAGCCATGAGGGCAAATCATACCATGAAGGTGGCAGAATATAAGGGATTACTTTGTCATGTCCTCTGTTCCCGAATAGTAATAATTAATCCCATTTGAAAGATGTCAGTAAAGGTGTGTGCTTGGGCCCTATCAAGTAATCGAGACGGATGTCTCATACATGCCTTCGACTATGGGTAAGGTGACATTACAGCATGTACGTACTTGACTGCCGCCTGGTCACCGACCACACAAACAAGTTTTTGGTCTTGCACACCTGTGATTCCTGATTGACCTTGACCTTAGAGTGATTGTCAGCACGCTTAAAGTTTCTGTGCGTGTTATTGGCCAATCAGAAGAGCCCGATTCGAGAGTGGAATGTGGTGTGAAAAAGGAAAACTTCTAGAGTTCTGGAGTTAAAGGCATCTCTGGGAATGCTGCCCGACTCCAATCACATTTCATGTCATATCGGTACCCAGTTAGACAGACACTATAAAAAGTACACCTGGTTTCACTTTTCTTTTTCATTTATGTCTTTGGTCCATTCTCACATTATGCTAAGAAAATGGCTTATCCTCTCCCCATATTTCTTACATTTCTACTTAACATTGGGGCATTTTCTCATGCGGTTTTGCATGATAAACGTCAAATAACTACAGAGAGCAACTAAAAATATCTTATTTGTTTAAACACTCAACACTAGACTTGTGCAAAATTCACCTCCATTACTGTCTCAATTACTGTCCAACCATGCCTATGTGTTTGTCTAATGCTTATACTAAGGAAAGGTGATAAATGCTTCAGCAGTAAAAATGAATAGAAGGTGGGGGACGGTAGATGGGATTAAAGTGCGTTCCCATTCCTCACCCATTTTTTCTTTCCTCCCTCTCATTTATTCCAAAGTTTAACTATTCCCACGGCTTAGCTTTACTGCTGTACGATGTATGAACGGACATGTAGGAACAAAGATAGGGCTTTCTCCTGGCCAATTTCTCGAAAAGCTTTACTCCCAACTTTCGTGTTATTTTGTAACGAGCAAATAGATCACAGCAGCAAGTATTTGGTCTCCAATGCCTGAATGTTTCAGGGTAAATACTGCGTCTAAAGTCCATTATACACATACACGCAGAGATGGAGAAAGAGCAGTCCTAGTCGTCGTGACTTGGAGTAAAGCGTGTGTCGGAAGTGTGGGCAATGGATCCCCTGAGATAACCAGTGATATTCTCGTTCGCTTAAAGTTACAATCGAACTCAGTTTCACAGCAAGTCAGTCACTCAGACAGCCAAAAATGGCCAGCCTTAGTAGACTTACATTCTCCCAAAGTGTAGCTCGAGAACCGACTTAAACTCGGTTCATAAAACAGGCAGGGTCAAGCCATATTCAACAGATTTAATTGGCATTTTATGACATAGGTTATCAAAACATAAAACATCAAAGAGAAAAATAAAGAATGCTTAAATAGCGCTCGATGTACGGCAAGATCCCAAAGACGGGACGAATCTGTCGTGCTCTCCGCTGTTTCCGCATAATAGGTTGGGTGTGATTCAAGACTGTCTGCTTTGCGTAGCGAGTTTAAATAAATTCCAAAAGCCGTCAAACTTGTCGCTTATGTTCTGGAGAAGATGTCAGGTCAGGGCTGAGAAAGTACTCGGTTGAAATGGTCGAATTCCGGATTTCATAATTGTTTTCAGCTTAACTTCGCAGATTTCTGCACCTTTAAATAAACATTTTCTAAATTACACAAATCCCTGAATGCTCAGTAATCCTTCCAAAGACCATTTCAGGACCGCATATGAATAAGGAATCCTTTCGTTTAGAAATACACGCAAAACCAAACTCTGAAACAGCATGCTACTTTTTAGGTAAATAAGTAGGTTAAGTACTAAATTGGCTTTAAGATAGACCACGGCCCTCCAAATAAATGTGCCCAGAGTACATGAATGCAACGTGCAAAGGAAAGACCCTCCATTCCTAAGAATGAAAAACTAGATGTTGCTAGCAAGGTTAATGTGACAAGGAATTCATCCCCCAACTTGACACGAGTGATGCTACAACTGGTCTGTACTCACCTCAGCTAAGAAAAGGCAACCTAAGGAAGTGGCCATCGTATATCCTTCAGCAGCAGAACAGACAATAAGTTCCAAACCAAATACCTATTTTTCTTAACGTCTTTAATGTACATTATGTAAATGCTAGCTGACTGAGTGATTGGTGATAAGAATTGGCTTTTGTATTTCAACGATGGCAAAACAAACGAACACACCATCGGTTATCCCAAATGCTGCACTGCCCCTAATTCCGAGGCACGTACTACATTATCCCGAGAAGACTGCATGCTTTGTGTGCATGTGCGGTGGCCTGCTAACGAAATAAATCACTTGGCTTATTCTCACCTTCCACCTTTCCTTCATGGTATTTTCCTCAGTGAAGATACCCTTTTATTGGCAAGAGGTAATCACAGGACCGCTAGATTCCCCTACCCTCCTGACTGGCCAATAACAAGTACAGAGAGACTTTAAGTGTGCTGACAATCACTCTAAGGTCAAGGTCAATTAAGAATCACAGATATGCGCGAAAGGAACACCCTCGCTTGTCACAGATGCACATGCTGTACTGCCACTTTACTCATACCCGTCGGTGTTCACAAGACGTCCGTATCGAAGTTTTTGCCTCATTGAACTGGAGAAGTTCAAAGTCCGTTGACACAAACGCCAAACTAATCTATTTACTCCCGACTCTCTGGAAAGGACGTCTTTCAAAACGCACATGAGCTTTTCAGGGGCCGATTTCCTGCTATAGGCCTTGAAAATAATTTCTAAGACCCAATCATAGACTGTTCAAATGTTCCCAAAGCCTTGAAAAAAAAAACTAGAATGCATCACCCATTATTAACACTTCGTGACCCCAAAGAGAGCCGCCCTTCATTCTTACACAATTTCATTTACAAATAGTCTGACTGACTAGAATCCTAAAGCGAAATTGACTGTGGTCAGTACACAATCTCTACCTTGTCCTCCTCAAGCACTTGGTCGATTTGCAAGGTCTCTCGTTCACTTGACAAAAGTCTATGTCGGCATTTCCTTGGCCCCACTAAAAAAATTTGAACACCTCTGGGCCGAGAAAGCCACATAATCTTTGTTTTGAAAACCCGTCTTTGTTACATGAATAGTCTCTTTTTTTCCAAATAATTATCTATGATAAAATCCAATATTCGTTCCTTGCTGGTCTACAAAAATAGACAAAAATTGTTCCAGATCGCAGGGAATATGGCCTAACGGTTGGAGGTAATTTTCCTCCTTTTATTCAACTGACATGCTGTGCCCTTTCACCATAATGATCACGCGATGAAACAATGTGTCATGGTTGGCCTTTGAATTCTACGTGCATGGAATCGGATATTCACCTGGTGATTATCATTATGCACCCCTAATGAGTACATTTATTTGGAGGGCCGTGGTCTATCTTAAAGCCAATTTAGTACTTAACCTACTTATTTACCTAAAAAGTAGCATGCTGTTTCAGAGTTTGGTTTTGCGTGTATTTCTAAACGAAAGGATTCCTTATTCATATGCGGTCCTGAAATGGTCTTTGAAAGGACTACTGAGCATTCAGGGATTTGTGTAATTTAGAAAATGTTTATTTAAAGGTGCGGAAATCTGCGAAGTTAAGCTGAAAACAATTATGAGATGCATAATTCGACCATTGCAACAGAGTACTTTCTCAGCCCTACACTTGGTAGTGGTGGACACTTTTGGTCGTCAGCAAAATTGGGGAGTAACGTAAAACAAAAGCTTATAGGAAAGAAAATTGTTTTTCCAAATACTTTACTTCAGTTGCTCTTCCATCAACGTTTCTTTTGAATGGTCCTAGACTATAAAGAGGGTTAAGAGACAGAAAAATTCCTGTGACTTTTGTTTATCGGGGATACACAGGAGTGAGGATGGAGATTACCTAAACAGAACAGAAGAATTACCGGTTTGCCCACCTTTGTCTGTTGCAGGAACAGGATGAGGGAATGTGACGCTCTCCACAGTGCTTGCCCCTTCACAAACCGTCAAGGTAGATGAGGCAAGATATCATCCCCGCCTCAAAAAAATTATTTTGTTATTGACAATCTTTTATACCCAAGGCCAGGAGATTTTTTCCTTCAAAAACAGAAGAATCCGACAAGATTGATAAAAGAGCGGCATCTCAAGGTCGCCGCGACAAGCAGACAAAGTGACAAGCGTGACATGCCCTAATTGTGCTCTGCGATGTATTTTTGCAGTTTCCGTGTCATGCCAGACGTATTTTCCCCTATTTTGCCGTTTACTTTCTCATAGCTTCCCTTGGGTAGTGAATACTTAGGTACTCACGGCAAAGTGAGATTTCAGTGAGATGCATCCGACCGTTTGAAGGCACCTTTTAAAAGCGGGTGGCGGATTCGAGTTGATAGGGAGGTGGGAAAAATTTAAAACTCCGTTTAATTTTGTACAGACGAGTAAAAAAGTTAATGCAAGACTATTTTACCTACCTTCCCTTGATAGATAATTCAATCCTTAAGCGTTAAACGTGCCAAATACCCTGCTTACATATACCTTATTAATCCAAGGAAGTAGAAATAGCACTATTTGTTGTGTCAAAAAATCTAATGAACGGGAAGTGAATTCATTTGTGGTTTAAAAAAGCATCCAAAATATTTAACAACGTTGTTTAAATTCACGAGCTGTTATTAGGCTGTCAATACTTTCACCGTCGAGCGCCAGGTTCTCACCAATTCGAAGAAATTTTTTACCAACCATATCCCTGACTTCCTGTCAACAATATCACATTATCAACAGCGTGTAATTCTCAAAAACTCAGTTTTGTCACCTGAAAAAAAAAAAGATTTATTTTTGTTCATAACTTAAACATGAAGGCTTTTAATGCTTAAAGTGCTTAAAAACTTTCCACTTTTCCTTTGTTCTTGTTACATAAAACACTTGCGTTTTGACGTTAAAAGGCACCAAATCCACTATTGAGAGATGTGCAAATTATGTCAGAGTTTTTGTGCAAACATAAGTCTCACTCCTACTTCATTGTAATGCCTTAATAATAGGTGGCCTTTTGTTTTAAGTAGTGTAGTCCCAAAATTTAACTAAAGTGGCGAAAGTGACTTTTGTTGAGTCTTAACATTCTCAGGTGCTATGCAAAAGTACTTTGTGAATGCACATGAACTTCCACAAAAAATGTGCATAAGTAGCACCTCATGATCATCTTTGCTCATCTCGAAGGCTATAAAAAGCTACATAACGGGTTTTTATGGCCTCACAAGGCTGCCAGTTCATTCCCTCAGGCCCCACCCCTTTCGCCCCCCCCCCCCCTCCAACACTATTGTCTCACGCCCTCGAGATTATCATACGCAGATATATTTCGTTATATTTATGTCTAAGAGTTGACCCATCTGGTGCACTTTAGGAGGAACTATGTGTCTGGAAATGTGTTCTTCCTATGCAGACAGGAGTACGAAACAATAGAATTTTACTTAGTTGCCATGACGCAATTGTAGACAGGAGAATAACCGAATTTTATAGGAGCAACCAACCAACCAAACACAAAGGTCATCAAACAAAATTCCTGTATTTCTCAACTCTGCTACCACTCTTTTAATACGTGTTTAAGGATTTATCTCGTTTCACCCATCTGTGATTTAGGGTATAGAGCAGTCCGTAAGAGTTGCCGAATTATCTTAACTGACATAAACAACGAGCACCTTTTCCACTTTGCTATTTCTGTCGAAACTTCCTCGAAAGAAGTTTGCAACCTAACTCCCTTTTGCAAATTAAGTCGAACTGTCGCAGCTCCCAAAATCTACCTTAGATGGGAACAAAGCCTCGCAATTTCCGAAAACTGCCTGAAACGAACAACAGCATTCATCTTGGCACGCGTGCGATGTCCTGATTTTTTGGCCTGACCTCGGCTACATAATTATATGACACGTATGCTTTGTACCTTTGTTTCACTAATTTGTTGGGTACAGTGGTGTGTAAATGTAGATGTTATACTAAAACAATGGAAGAACACCTCAACGGTGGTGATCCACTTTTCTCCTAAAGACTGTGACTATAAGGGGAGAAAATGACCTTTCTGTGGTGTGTAAGGACCAACTGACGCAATGCGTGAAGATTTTTCTCTTTTAACAATGTGGCACATGTGTAGGCTTCATAATTTTCTTATCTGAGCAAACACGTCACACCCGTGTGACAGAGTTCATTAAAAGGAAATTATTTATATTCTAGCAGGAAAAGAGAAAAAAAGTGATCTATTTCAGGCTACAAAATGAAGCATTTGCTAAATGGTGGTCACCTTGCCTCTGGGACAGATTTTAGTGTTAAAAATTGTCAAATATATCTACCAAATTTGATGCATCCAGGTATTCTTTTCATCCACTGAAGCAGGATTATAAAGCAACTTTTCCAGTGAAAGAAAGGTAATTCATCGTTTTTCTCCACAATCTGCCATTAATAAAGTTTTTTCTGGCAGTCTTTTTTCAGGAACCAACTTCATTTGCGGACCGAATATATTATTAATGTATTAACGAGACAAGTTGTTCCACCCTTCCATTACCTCGTACAGCTAGATATTTGTCAACTGGCATGACTAGCAAACAAAATATGACAGTAAAATAGTAAAACAAGCAGCGTTTGCATAAAATCGGGTCTTTTGGATTTCCGAGAAGCACAAATTAGGAGGAAATACATGTATTTATTCATATAGTTCTCTATTGCAGTTATACACCCTCTCTAGCCTTGAACTAATGCTTGGAAAACAACTCCGGGACACTTTCAAGACATCCTGTTTCACTTAGTCATAAATGCTAAATAAGATGTAATTTCACTTCTGGTGAGCGTTTTAATTCTGACGTGAAGTGATGGACCCTATTTTCGTCACGCAGTGGTAAGATCCAGAGAGTCTCACTCCTTCATCTCAGTTCATCACGCAATTCTTACGGACTAGTCATGAAGTTTTCGTGGTATCCATCATGAGATAACATTGTAAAGTCTTATGTCTTTGCTTCCACAGGAAAATGTGTTCGTCGGCGAGGAGTCCTTAATCGGATAGACTTTGAACCCTACTTAACTGAGTGTTCACAGGAATTTCTATTGAGTTGTGAGCTGAAGGCGCCCAGAACTGCAACGACCGACCTGGAATTACTGACACCATTCAAACGCCACAATGTGGCAAACATACGAGAATCCACGACTTTTACACCTACCTTGACAATAAACCCCATCAATACGGGCTACTGCACTCACGCACCACTCACCAAACTATTACCTTCCTTCTTGGTTGACGCTGTGTCGGCTTTTAGTCCTAGGGCAAACACGACAAAACAATTATAGAAGCATGCCCCTTTACATGCGTTGGTATAGAACAAGTGACGATGTGACATTAAAGCTCATTAACTTCTCCATATTCGCAATTTTTTATAACAGAGAGGTCAAAATCAAATTCAATCAGCATGCAGGCCATTACGCGTTGGACTACAATATTTCCACAACGTTCCCTCCCAAGCATTTATCCCACTTACAGTGTCACCCTCGACAAGCTGCCAGTTGCTATCCCTCGGCTGTACTTTAACCTGGCTGAACTTAAACTGTACTGGTGACAAAAACAAACATGGCGCGCATGATAAACTGGCGTCGCAGCAAAAAGACCCCGCGTTTAGCAAAACACGGGCTGACATGACTTTAAATTCATTTTCATCTTCCCCAAAATATGTGATAGGGATGAAAATTAAGTGGAGAAAAGTGTATAAGCCATGCGTGTTATTTTCCAACACCCAATAAGATGTTAACAATCGAATAAATAGTGACAGACTTATAAGCAGTACGTCCTTCTCAAACAAAAAGTGGAACTTTAGTCGTCTATTTGCATTCATTTTACTGATTCTTAAAAAAACAATAAAGGTGTTTCTAGCTTTAGCTTCAAAAATTGTGCACTACCAAAGGAAAGAGTACCTGGTTACTGCCTAGCCCGCATTTTAATTTGGGCTAATGATTCCACAAATTAAAGCCCACCCTAAGAGCACTGAAGTCTCACGAATAGGCTCTTTAAGGGAGTTGCGCCTTTCCTGCCAAAAATTTGAGGAATTCGAACTGGCAAGGGCAATCCATTAAGGCGTCTCCTGGTAAGGCAAGACAGCCAAGTAACTCATTCTCTTGTCAAATTTAAACCAAAAATTAAGTACCTTCTTGTCGTTTCCTCGGAGGTAATGAGATTTTGAACAGATTTGATTTGGGGAAAGTGCGTTGCTCTGTCCAAATTATTGCCATTTTAAAATGTCATACTTACTCCAACAGTAGAACCATTTTATTTTCAGAAGGTGCGTTTTTATATGATGACGATATGCAAAAAACGACCGTCTGGAAACGTTATCAAGGCCGCGACAATAGGATGGTCTATTGTTCAATCAACTCAATCCCAAAGTTGCATGCAATGCCACATGGCTGGACAATGTTTGCTAGCTGCGACTTGAAGGTAGTGAAAAACGTGAAGGAAAAGACCAAAGAACTTTACAGATGGATCACAGGCATACCAATGTATGCACAAAGTTTAGCCAACACTGAAGTCTCTCTCTCTTCTTCACATTTACTTATTTGCAACAAAGACTAGGAGACAAAAAAGTCACCTTTTGCCTGATTCATTCGTTTATGTTAAAGAAAAAACTTATTAAATCATTTGGCGCATGTGCCTACAGTGTTTTATTTTGTTTTGGACTGATACAAAAAATACACTTAGGTGTTATTTTGATCACAAGTGGAGGGACTTTTCATTGCCAAAATTGAGACCCTGGACATTTCTTGTAAACAGGTCCTAGATTTAATTATTGCCCGTAGATGCAAATAATAGAAAAAGGAAAATTTCATCCAAGAGCTTATAGGTAAAAATTTGGGCTTGCAAATCATCATAAAGAGGAGACAAAAATGAGGCAATGAGGACATTTGATAAACACTCTTTAAGTACGAAGGAAGGAAGGAAGTTCTTGTGGTTTTTGGCATGACCCACCGCAATGACCTACTGCTAGTAGTGGGGACTTGTAAAATGTGTTTATTTACATATAGCCTGCGACATTGACATCCGTCAAGCTGTTAGTATGATACTCTGTTGGGGTTTTCTCCCTTTAAGGCTTCAATATCATAAAATGTCAGCTGAATCTAGTTTGACAGTGCTAACAACTAAAACACACCTCTATAGCTGCAAAAAACTTTTTGTGGTATTTGCACGCATTATCTCGAGAAGTGGTAGCTGAAGAAAGTTGTGCATTATTATCGGAAGAGGAGATGGAGACGAAGGTAGCGGTGAAAGCTACTAATTAAAAGGGTCCCACTTAGGTGTCATACGTTAACAGATAAGAAAAGGCACCCAAGGCTCTCAATTTGTTCTTTACTGCTTTTATGTAGATTTTAAAAACGAACCTTTGGGAAAGAATCGCTTTCTGACTGACTTATGACAAGTGCTGACGCTTATGCTCCTCTGTTAGGGGAAAGGACACACCATTGGGCATTCCAGACAAACCCATCAACCATCCCACAATTCATCCCCAGAAAACCATACTTGCAGGTGGATGCATTCGCCACGTAATTCTTGCTGTGACACTCAAACACCGACGGCTTAGGCAAGTCCATACAATCCACTGCGAATATGTGTGAGACAAAGAGAAACGGAAACAGGTAGAAATGGTTGGTTAGCAACAAAACAGGGATACTGTAGCAATCCCCATTCACCGCCTTTTTACCTGAAGCTACTTCTCTAAGTTGTCATTATCAATTTCTCTTGGCATGAAACAATTCCTTGCAAATTAGAACGGGCAGTCGAGAGAAAAATGTGGGCTGAAATGAAACTTTAATAGAGGTATTTTCTTTAATCTTGGGGAACGAAAAAATTCCCGATAAAATGAAACTTACAGCTATTTTGGGGAAGCATTCCGACGAATAAAATATTTCTTGAAGCTTTCTGTGTTTATTTAATTTTTACGCTTGAACATTAAGCTAACTCATTTAGCCACCTTGCTGCTGGATTCCACTCTTGACTAAACTAGCTGAATCCTGAATTCTCCCTGAGGGGGTTATTGGAGTACACTGGTGCTGTGGACAGTAGGGCTGCAAGCATAAGAAGGCAAACAAAGAAAGAAACCGAAACTGCAGAGGCTGGGACAATTGACCAGTTGAATGCCTTATTAACATACCGTCGGGTTATTATTAAGTGCCGTCCTCACTTTCTTGCAGTTGTCGTCTTTTTGCGTTTGCTACCACACCCTAGTCGGTGCTTCCACTTCTACCCAAGGGTTGGGAATGGAGGTCACCGCGTTAATTTTTGGAGTTTTCTGCTTTTTTTTGAGGGTTTTTCTGTTTGCCTTTTTTCACTGAATTGAATTATGCCCATCCGATCGTTGTGCGCTATTGGTGAGCTCCGTCAACACCAATTTGCCACGCCTTTGATGCTTCTGTGATTTTAGACCACTTTTGTGCATTTGTTTAATTATATCACAGGAGTCATTAACTTAGCCACTTCGAGATGAAAATCTTACATCTTGTTTAACAAAGTAGTAGTCCACATTGCCGGTCATCCGAGGGTCTTTTTTAATTAATTCTCCTCTATAAATAGAAGTAGGGGCTCAATTATCTCTGTATATAATTTTCCAAAGAATGTATCTATGTTAATTATACATATTAAAATCAGGGAATTTGAAAACGAGGAACTCATTTTAGCCTGATCGTCAAGAATGGCTTTGCAGAATAACTGGTGGTTTTGTTTAACATAACGTCTAATTAACATGAATGATGCAATCAAAATGTACCTAGGTCCTACTGTAAAATAAGGAAATAAATATAACGGTGAGTACGAGAGAGGTTCATTTGCATCCTGGACTTTTGAATCACCTAGGTGATGCAGAATGCAGCAGTAAACGGCAAGTGGTTCTGCTGCGAGTACGTGAATATCGTAACCGCCTGTTCAGACAGGAGAACTTAAACATGATACAATGAGCATAGTGGTGGAAGGGTCAGAAATCTAGCAGTATAATATTTCAATTGTGGGAGCATTTCGAAAGTTGTCATCCGCTGGAATGAGTGTAAGCTTATGTGGAGGAAATAAAACGTCTTCTGCTCATTAATTTTTTCTGCCGCGATTTAGTGTGAATGACCTTTGTGTACTTCACTACATTTGGAGGTATTAATGTTTCCCAGTCCCTTATTCTCATGAAAAGTACGTCAGTGAAACCTTTCTCTGTAATATCAATAAGTAGAAAGGCAAATGCTTCCATGATTTGGTAGTTTCAACAACTTCCATTAAACGTCCTCTGAATGTGGAACTACCACTACTGAAGTTGTGGAGGAAACTTTATAGGCAAGTTTGTTTACGATTAGGGTGTTTCTAAATCCAGCACTTTTATCATTACCTCCCTCCCTCCTCCTCCTCCTCCTCCTTTTTTTCCAAATTTTCTTAAGCACCTCCACTTGAGAGTACAGATGCATTTAGTCCGCATAGTATCCATCATGGGATTGGATTTTGGCCATAAAGTACTGCAAAATACATGCTTAATGGGATGCAATTTACTCAAATGTCTGTGAATGAAGTTGGAAATTCAGCCAGTCTCATGGATTCCAACAATCTCACCTTTTTGTTAGCACTTTATGGTCCATAATAATTGCTATTAACCAATCAAATCGCTACCCATATGACTACCACTCCATATTCGAGTAGAAGGTCATATTTTCGGTCAAATTAAAAGCTCCATGCCCAATAAATAAAGAGGACTTATTGTTTGCGCATTTATTTGTTCCCTATCCGTCTATGGTGACGACTTTTTGCACTAATTTTTGGATCACAGACAAGTTGACTGAGCTAAAAGCAATGCAGCGGGTGTCGGATGCGCCTGATGTTGGCTTTTGTTGGTTGTGGTGGCCTACTTTCCACCGGCGGTCTGGCGGCTTTACATTTTAAAACATCCTAGTTTTATGGGAGACGGTGAGTACAACCATAAAATTGAGTTATACAAAGTGCCGACAAACGAACAGAGACGCAGTGCTGTGGCTGACGGCCAGAGTATTTCAATTTTGCGTGATTTCCGTTTAGCAAGACTGAAGTTGAAATTGTGGCGATACACTGCCATGATTTGGTTCGGTTGAAGCTCCAATGTGATCTAAACAAAGTTTAAGATTTAGCAGTTGGCTGTGGCGCGAATACACATCAATGTATTCATCTTGTCACCATTACGAACTTCCGCTTTATAAATACTCAAGTGAATTCCTTCATTTCCTCAATGACGGCCTAAATTGACAGCTTACAAATTCTCCATCCTCTTATGCCATTTTCATTTGCTGCTATTTCAACACTCTCACATATATGTTTTTCCTGTTTAAAATGAGAGTGCATCCCTCGATGCTGCAACGCAGCCCCTTCCACCATAAAAACCAACCCATAAATGCATGGATTTACTTATACATTTGTATATACATACACACATGAGGTGAAAATGAACATCATTACAATTTGATACAAAATAGCCGGGGGAAGGGGATATGAAAATGTCTATTCTTTACTTCTCAAATGCCATCTTTAAGACCTCGATCACCACAAACCGGGACAAGGTGGTAGGAAATATTTCGCAGACACCTGCGATAAGCTCTGTTGCCCCAAAAACCATAGAGTACTGGATCTATGAAGATACACACTCGAGACCACAGCGTCACCAGGAGCAGGAGTTGTCCATTCACATCAGCAATAAACCACCTCGCACACAGCCAAATTGCCCGAGGTCCGTGGCACACAACGAAGGCGATAAGGATGCTGGCCAATACCACCACAGTCCGCTTATGCTGCCGCTGAAGTTGTCGCACAAAGACAGAGTCTGTGACATTATCATTGCGAGTCTTTTGTGCCATCAAAATCACAGGTTGATAGAGCTCTGTCATGCTCTTACGTCTCCCCTGATTTGGCTCTATCTCCGGGCAAGTGAGCTTGCGTTTCGGTCCATCAGTGCTGCAAGCAGCGGACGTGGAGCAGTCAATGGAAGATGTGGTGCGAGTGAGAGCTGTGGTAGATGATTTAACAGTTAGAAAGGAGAGGTAGTCGGCTGAAGTGTTTTCATGTGCCACAGGCAGATGTTCGTGAGAGGTTTCGGGCACGTCCCACAACTGGTTTAAACGCACGTCCAATGGGCGGTTCAAGTTCTGATCACTACTGCCGGTGATGGTGAAGGTTGGTATACTGGATTGTGTGAGAAGCTGTGGCCGTGATGAGTCAGTTTTCGTGAGAGAAGGACTTGAGGCCGCCTCCTCATCGATAAGGAACGTGGTTTTGCTTGAATTACTCGTTTGACGTAAAAGAAAACGTTTGTGTCGTTTTGCAACCTAATGGAGTAAAAAGTGGAGGTGAAGCGGTGGAGCAAATACCCTGAATCATTTGTTTATCAACAAGACTTAATGTTTAATAGTTGGTTTTAATTACGCTACCTCAATTAGGTAAGATCAAGAATGAAGTGAAGAAGCAACTTCTACTAGCAAATAGTTGAATAGCCCTATATGCCACATCAATCTCCCACGGTGACAAATGGGCAATGTACTTACAGGTCCCAACATGAATTCGTAGTCGAAAACAGGTCATTACGAATGCTATATGTTGTTTACAATTTGAAGTGCTACTGACCATTACTCTCGTAACTTTTAATTACCATCTTCTACCGGTTGTTTATCCAAAAAAATAATGTGGGTCAGGTCATATTTCCAACAAATTTTATTTCTTAAAACCCTAGTTCAATGAAAGAATACCTACTTTTGTAGCCTCATCTATTAATAGTTGAACTTTTTTCTTTCCCAGGTAAGATTCATGGTAGCGGAGTGAGGATGTTCAACCACCCATATTCAAACTCGGATTTTGTCCAAGATGTACCAAGATCTTGTATGAAAAGGTATACTTAATCAACCTCTTGCTTCTCCGTAGTAGAAAAAAATGAGGTGCGGGTGCATGTCTGTGCATTCTACCTCTCTCTTGCCAATCGCATACCAAAAATGACTTTTTCCAGAGTGTTGTACGGCTTGACCAAAACAGTACTTTGGTCCCCGAACAATACAGAAGCAAATATTTTGGCAGAATGTCCATATTGTCGTTCCAAATGCTAACAGTAAGTGTCTATAAAGTTTTATTTGTAAGACTTCTTTTTCCCCCGTTGTAATCTTCGTTCATGTTTACTTAAAACATGACAGTTGCAACAGTTCACACGCCTTGTGTAACAATCACTCTTCTAAGGAGCGAGAAAAACTTATGCTCTGCAAATAAACATCCTGCAAAGAATGAAAAGTACAAATGAAAGTGGAGAAAATTAATGATGTAGCCGACAAGTTACTGAGTACTGGAAGTTTATGATAGTGCCAAAAACCGATTCCAGATGCATGTTAACCTGTCTCCTGCATCAGCAGTCCAACCATTTGTACGAAAGGATGGTAAAGTAGAGGTTTAGATGAAGATAGGGAGAAATTCTATTTAGACTGCTGCAGCGCACTCGACATCTTTGGTGATTTCCTCGTAATGAGGACTAACTCATTTTTTCATTTTGACTGATCGCAATCATGTCTCAGGAATGACCACGATGGAGGTAGTACTTTAGGAGGTGTTCACACCACTGAGGCTTGGACTACTTGGCCTTAAAATATATACAAGAATTAGGCCAGGTGCTAAGCTGGCGGTTGTGAATTAGGAGCATTTATCAACTACTTGCTGAAATTTCAGCATTTGTGTCGGCAAGAGGATTGGTGTTATCTCAACAATGCTTACTGAGTAACGAAACGATGGACTTGCTAATTGCCAAGTTTTTCCCATCTTTAACGAGTCGGCCTCCACGCTCTGCCCACGCCACTCACGCTATTTGCTTCTAAATCTTCTGGAGCATGAAACTACTTCGTGTTAATGCATACCGAGAGGAACCATGAATTCACCCTAAGCTTTTTTAAAAAATCTCTGATTCATTTGCAATCTACTGGAATTTTGTCTCTCAGCTTCATAACTTAATCTTGCGTGTATTGCTAGAAGTAGGAAATATTTGCTGGTTATTTACCTGAAATTCCAAATATGAAAGCCAAACAATTCTATTGTCATTGGCTACAAAGAATTAGTTTAATGGAAAAGTATAGCTATTCTAATTTCCCTGCTTTTCCCATCAAATGGAATGGCTTATGAAAAGAGGAGGAATTCATCGAGTCCAGCATCTCTGCGTTATGCTTACAGGCTAGAGGAAACACTTAACTGATGGCTCAAAGTGAGATGGTACCCATCTGCCAACTAGCATTACTAACCTTTCGCATCATTCACGAGGTGTCGTTTCCATGTTTTAGTGTTTACACGACGTAAATCAAAATAACAGCAAAACCTTGGCAACTTGATTTTCAAACACTTCTCTCAGTTCAGTGAATCAAGAGCAAGGGTGGCCATAGTTGCAAGACATTAAGGTTTGCAGGGACCATCAAGATCATCCCACCAACTGATGATAATCCCTTAATCCGCCCTGCGGGTCATAATAACGCTTCTGCCCTCCGTTTTTACGATCGCAGATTATTAAAATGTTCGTAAAGGATCTTCTCTCCTCCATATAACAAATCCAGGCTTTAGTAAAAGGGAGACGATTGACATGAAGTAGAAATTTTAAAAATTTTAAAGAAATGGAGTTCCTATGTGACGTCTTTAACAGGTTTAAAATCCTCACCTTTCTGTAGATAAGGCAATTGGTAGAGAGGAGGAATGAAGTGGGCATGACAAACAGCCCAACGAAGACACCAATGCTGGTAGAGAGAGTGTGGTAAAACAATTCCGATTCCCCTTCCTCCACATCACTGTGGTCTTCGTATATCCAGCACCAAATACTGCTGCAGAATGCCACCAGCATAACGATGAGAGGCAGAAAGCACAGGCAGAGACGAGAAACTCTTTGAAATCGTATCGCAAAAAGGCACTTGGATGGTGGCTGATTGACAGCATTCGCTGCACTTTCCAAGTCTACTGCAGTAACCACATTTTGAACCCTTCTACTACAGTAGCAAAAACAGCAGCAGCATCCGAGGCAGGATGAAGTCTGTTTCTCTGTTGCCACCCGAAAGGGATGAGCAAGCGGCCGTCCACATTCATTCGGTGTTGTTTTTCGGCTACTGTGACGAGAAGTGCTGTGAATGGCGTGGGCTCTGTTCACCGCAATCCACAAGATAGCGCCCACTTCAACTGCTTGAAAGGTGTCAAGGAGGGCCGAGGTGGTCACAATACCTGCGATGCCTACATTGGTTTTGTAGATGGAGTACGCTGCGGAGATGAGAAGAAGTAAGGCAGTAAGGAGATTGGATGAGGCAAGAATTAGTAGACCTTGGAGATACACCCTATGTCGACGGCTCTGAGATCGCCAAGTCATTTTACCACTGGGTTTGGAGCACCGCTGAGTCATATTCGTGTCCTGTTCCAACCGATTGATTGAAAGGAGGGATGATAGTCTAAGAAGAGATATGTCTGTGTTGGGAACGAGCATCATCGGCTTCTTTGATGCCAGAAGACGCGATGTAGTTTCTGAAACACGCCTCTGAGCAGACGAGTCGAGACTGCCTGTTCGGTTAGACCTGTGATCTGAATTGGTTTCATCAGTGCTGTAACCACCAATGGAATATTTCTTATTTCTGGGCCCTACACCCAGCATTCTAGAGAAGATGAGTATTCCAGCATTGGTAGCGATTCCTAAGCATGCAATGAGGATCGCAATGCTTATCTCACTCAGGAGCATGTCTGCGTTGTGGGGGTAACATTGATGCCGTGGTCCCCACGTAGAAACGGCGACTGGATACTGGTGAACTGGTGCACCAATGGGCGTACAGGCGACCATGTGATTGGTCGAGGCTGCAAGTTATATTAACGAAGGGAAAATGCATACACACATGGGACAAGGTGGGATGGGTGCTTCAAAGTACAATCTTATCGACAAAAGTGCGTAAAAACATCTGACGTTAATAGAACTGCTTAGAGGTCACGTTTTATGCCGTGATGAGCTCTTATATTTTGGCTCCGATACACGAAAGACCTAGCACTTCAGTTGAGGAAACAAAGTACTGCAAGACTAACCTTAATCCTTAAGTTTCTATGGCATACGCATTTTTGTTTATATCCTCGGCACCCGTCACCTCATTAATTTAGAATAATAAGTATGATTACAATAATCCAAAAAGTGTAGACATCTAGCAGTCGGCTTTGTTTGTGGATCACTTTTAAAAAGGACTTAAGAGGTGGTGATCCCAGCGAAAATGTACGTTTCGTGCGAAGCACTTCCCATGAAGACGATTTCGGTAAAACAAAAAACAAGTTGAGGATTATTTAAAATACAAAGACATTCATACAAACCTACATTACTGCAGGGAATAGGAGTTGAAATTGTGCCGGTTAACAGATGACAAATGCTACCTTGTCTTCTAAGAAATTAAAAATGCTTAACCATTTTACAAAGTGGTGCGCAAAACCTGAAATCATTAACGAGAAATAAGTGGAAGCAGATGACCAAGTATGTCTGGAGGGAATCACGAGTGACTTTTGTGTTCCCCTTAACCTCACGAAAGCATCAGCTAAAGGTGGCCTGATTGGTAGTTTCACCTTAGAAAGTACTGTTAGTACGGTTGATTTGTTTTAAAACAACTAGTGTTGCTTCTTCATCAGTAATGGTAGTAAGGCCTTATGCTTTCACTGGTCCAGTGTCCGATTTGATTCAGGAATGCAAAAGTGAACCTGCTTTTCGTCACAGTAGAGGACGCTCTATCAGCTCTACGGTTTCAAACCGCCTGTGCTGATCAAAGGCCGGAGATGTCTCTCCATTTACCAAAAATTACAAATACTGGGAGGAACGCTTGACTCATGTACAAAACGCAGGTTGAGGATGGATCAGGTATTCAAGGCCACAGGAAAGACGGAAGTCCATGTGATGTGTATGACATTCAAACTTCCGACTGCTAAGCGAATGAATGTACCATCACTGTGTCTTCTATGGAGACAAAAAAATGGCAGCCGGTTTGGGTTTTACGCCCTTGTTTACACGGGAATTTCTCTAATCACCCCACATTGTTGCGTGCACATTTAACTGCTTTTGTCTGCCATCCCATCGGCATTAACGATGCCTCAGTTGGGTTGAATGCCGATATGATCACCCTCTCTCGCAAGTAATAGTCAGAAGTTCTTGATACTTACTGCCATTTATAATGCCGCTTTGGCAAAATTTTTATTTGTAACTGTAGAATTGATATTCCCGGTTTGAAAGGAGTGATCCTTGGAAAAGATATGTGGTGGTGACCATCTGTGATAACTAAACCTTCCCTAAAGATGGCTGCTAAAACACACTCAGAGTGCGATCAGACGAAGGGGAATGGGAAAGTTGAACCAAGATAGAAAAATGAAACAAGATGCACCGATCCGGCCATGAAAATTTTTTATTGCGCCATGAAGAGTAGTTGTGCTACTGTGCAGTGGGGCAAATATCACAGTTTGACATGGCACCAAGTCTAGAGGTCGGAAAGCACGCCAAAGCTTATCTGAGGCACTAAGTGAAACCACTTGATGCAATATGCTATTGTAGTGTCCCAATGCTTTCCCGAAGACGAAAGAAGAGATAATACTCGGGCAGAATATACATATTCAGCACAGAGAGGGTATTTGTGCTACTGGCACGGCCCGAAGGCCAGCCCACCTGGCATGGTACATAAGCCCAGTCAAAAGTGGCTCCTCGACAATACCGAGAGATAAACAACCATCGTATTACACTATTGTGGAATGTTTGCAATTAACACAGGCAAGTCTAATAAATGCGAGTATCCAAAATTACACCATTTTAACTCTAATCTGTCCTTTAATCTTAAAAATAACCAGATAAATAAAATCCATGAAATATGGAAAAGTTGGACAGTTATTTTGAAACAAGAAAATGATCTTCCAAATTGTTCTATTGGTTAGGTGAAAGTCTTTCCACAAACAATGCCTTTTAATTGACGGACAGAAGATCAACGACCATTCCTCCTTCATTTAATCGTAAAAGGAAGATCAAGCTGTCAACCACTTTAGACCGCAATTGGCAGGTACAACAACTTTCATGAGGGTTTAAATCACCAACTTTGCTAAACTACACGAACTGGAATGACTGTCCAGGCAACCGGCATGTAAACAAACACGAGTATGTCCCTCTGTTTACCTCCCATGTCCCATCATAGGATGGCCTGGGAATGGCAGCCTGTGGCACGGAGTGAATCATTTATCAGATGGAAAGTCTGCACACCGACTACACCCCACCGACACGCACACACCAACGGCACGCACGCACACACACGTCCAAACAACATTTGGAGGAATCCAGGCCAAATCTCGCAGTTACGCATTGCTGTGTCCAAAAATTTGTTGCGCAGCCCTCAACCAGGCCCGGGATTTGGCTTGCTCAGAAGAGTTGCAGGTGCAGGCGCGCCAAAATCTACTTTTGACAAAAAAAAAATTACCAAGTCCTTACAACCAGTAGGCGCACATTATTGGTTCTTTTTCTTTTTCCTCCTTAGCAGTTGAACAACTACTTCATGCTATTTTTTTGAAAAAAATTGTCTGAAGGAATTGCGATTGGTGTGTGTCAGGGATGTTTCTTTTAAGCTCTGCATAAAGGATACAAACATAAGTCCTCGTTTTTTTTCTAGATTTCAGAGTGCAAATGCCTGCAGAAATTTTCAGTTTTTAAAATGCAGCCATACAAGAACCTCAAGTGCAAATGGTTTCAAGATGTGTAGGCTTCTTTTCTCCATTTCTAGCAATAATTTTTCCACTTTGAGGTTGGTAGGAAAAAAAGGGCGGGATTTAGACAGAAAAGTTTTGCGCAACCAAAAGGTTGGTGAATCATTTACCCCGGACGCAATTTTGTTGCCACCAAAGCTAAGAGAAATAATTGCCCGAAAACAGAAACAATTATGAGTGCAGTTGCCTACCTTGGTGACACAGGACTTTGCCTGGACAAGCACCAACAAAAGCTTCAACACTTACCCTACCCAGTGAGATTAGGGGGTCTTATGCGAAACTACTTTTTAAGTCGCTCTGTCTCCTTCAACCCTCTTCTTTCAACTAATCAAAATGTGCACTAAGGGGCTCCATTAGTATGTGGACGAGAAATGAGCTATCGTAACGCAATATTGTGGAAAACGGTGGCATTGTTTGTGCCGATAAGCTGAATGGTCCAGAATAGCGAATTCCTTTATGAAAGTAAACAGGTTATGACATTACACACTAATGACTTCGTAATGCCCGATCTTTTTAATAATTTTGCTTTCACAAACGATTAAAAAGCCTAAGCATCAAGCCTTCCTTCTTAAAGATCAAATGTTACAAATGCTGGAAAGAGCTGATTAGGTATGGAGTCCCGACAATTTCTTCCCCACAGCACTCCTTGGCATTCAAAAGCAGCTTTTGAATGCCAGGGTGTATGTAACAAATTCTCTTTTCTCTTTATACCCCATTCTGACGACCTAGCTACAAATCGCACAAACTTCTATTCCGTCATCTTACCTGAATGCAGCGCTGAATTGTTTCAGTTTAATGGGATATGGATGAGGAGAGCATTGTAACGCGCTGTACCCTACACCGCCAATCATCTTCCTTCGTTCCTACATACGATGTGTTTGCAACCACCTTTCAAATATTGCTGTTTTGACAAAACCAAATGTGATTTGGGATTCATTCCTACAAGATTTCGTTAAAAGTACTTAGATAATTATCTTGACTTTACAAAGATAATCAAAGTGCGATAGCGTACTGAGTGACTTTGATGGGCTGGCGAATGTGAGGTGGTGAAATTGACTACGTCTGTGCTTCGGCGGCCTAACAAAACGTGTTCTTGGCCAAAGGAAAGAAAAAGCACCCCATTTTCCCAAACAGAGTAACAAATTGGTGTTGGTAACGCTCAATTAGGAGAACTCCTATCCAAAAGTTGGCCTTCTTGATGAATGAATCGAGGTACGGTTGCGAACGCGAATAAAGCAGACTTTCGTGATAAAGTTAAATCTTCCTCCTTTCAATCAGTATTCGAACATCTACCGATGAATCAACATAATAAGAATGGCTCTTGAAAAAAGCTACACTTTTTTACGCATTCCGTTCCACTTAAAGACAACCTTTGTGTGCTTTTAAATTTCAAGTGCAGAGGGCAACTTTTGCGATTAAAACAACTGAAATGTCGTTACTTGTAGTCGGGTCGTCAACCTACTTTCAGTATTTTTTGGCCTTTTGCAGTTTATGCACTTATACTCGGCAATATAATCGACAGGAGTAAAGTTATGTTTGATTTCAGTAATTCCTTCCCTGGGGAATGCTTGTCGATGCCGACTAAAATTCCAGCAATTTGTCAATTTGCTTCCCACAGAATCTGGTCCAATTTTTTTTTAAAAAAAACGTTAAATTCTTCCAATTTTCAATCATTCTCTCATTGCCAAGTACAGCCGAGTAATCACTCAGGATCCTGTTATAATCAGGAAACCGTGAGAAAGAAATACTGGGGATATCCGTATTGAATATCATGAGATAGAAATCCCTGGCTAACCGATTTGCACAATGTGCAGCAGCTTTTCTTCAGTTTACAAAATGCAGCTCCCGAACGGATGGAAATAGGCAATCGTCGACCTGATGCCTGGATTCACTCCACAGAGGCACTCGACACTTATCAAGACTGAATCCGGAAATGGGCTACCATTTGTCAGAGCGGGCGTCTAGTCATTCCATGCTACAAATATGCATCAGATATGCTGACATTTATCCACTATTCGAATTGGAATGCGCAATTTTGTCCAGAGCTACCTAGCATAGCAATAAAAGTTAAATAACTGC